TTCCCCACCAAAAAAAAAAAAAAAAAAAAAAAAAAGTTACTAATAATCAATTCTGAATGGAGACAACTTTTCTCCACCACATGTCAAGGGGCTGCCATTTGGTGATGTCCAGCTAATTTACTTAATTATTATTTTTTTAATTCACTTATATAAAGTGTGTTTGAATCACATTCTTTTTAAAGAAAATATTTTGAAATAATAGATTGATGGAGAATGTGCGATTTAAAAGAAGAAAAAAAATTTGATTTGCATGTAATATTATTTTGATGAAGAATTTGTGATTGAAAAAAAAAAAAGAGAAGAAAAATGGGAATTGAAGACATGGACCTAAATTCAGTGACCAAAACTCAAAATTCAGTGGCTAAAACTTGATATTTTAAACTTCAGTGGCCAATTAAAGACATGAACCTAAGTTCAGTGACCAAAACTCGACATTTTAAAGTTCAGTAATTAATCAAAGACATGGATCTAAGTTCAGTGAGCATTGGAACAATTAACTCGTATATGAGCTATGCAGAGTGTAGACACAGATTCACACGGAGAGTTGAGTCATTCTAAAACTTTATGATTAGTTAGACAGCCAGAGTATGAATTTTAGGTAAGTAAACGAGGATATAGTCAACTAAAAGTATTTGGACACATAGTTTAGTCATTCTATGCAGACACATAGTTTGCATGTGGACAATTTATGATTAGTTAGACAGCCAGAGTTTGTGAATTTTAGGTAAGTAAACGAGGATATATATAGTTAACTAAAAGAATTTGTGACAAATTAATATAAAATGACCATTAACAATATTGACCTCAAACATTTGTGTTATATATATGTGTTTAAGAGATGAATCGTCTCTGAAATTCATAGCATACGAAGAAAAATTCTTGATTCAGCTTGAGTTTTTATATTTTATAATCAGCAATTAGTCCGTTATTATATTTAGTGAAATACGTACCAGGAAGCTTTTGAGGTAATTCAGCAACGATATTATTTATTTATTTATCCTATGAGTAGTTAATTGGAGCGAACTTATAGCAGTGTAATTAATCTTGTAATTTTGTCATAATTATTCTTGTTTACATTATAACTCGACCATTTTCTCAACAATCAGTTCCCAAACAAAATAAAACAAAATATATTTAACTATTGTGTTAGCCTTGCTACTGGTATACTTGTTTGTATTCTTTTACATCGCCATCATTTTTTATTTTATTTTTTATATCTAGGTATCCACCTTACAGTGATTAAATTCTGGAGTCAACATCTTGACCCCTCAAGCTGCAGGCAGGTTAAACCGCAGGTTGTGCTCCAAACTAACCAGTGCTCAAGAGCCTCCCAACTGATCTGTCAAAGTGTCAAGTAAGTCGTTTTCCATCTTTGCACCTTGCCTTCCAGTAGAGCTCCTACCTTCCAGGAGAATATCTGCCTTCTAAGAGCCTTCCAAGAATCGAATTCACGACCTCTAATCTGTCAGCCTTGAAGCGCCCTCATCTTTACTAGTTGGGATGTGCCCTGGGGGCACATCGCCATCATTTTTTTTTCATTCATCGATGTGAGAGAGTGAGAGAGAGAGAGAGAGGGGTAAAATAAATCCCTAGAATTGCTTTACTTCTGCCGCTCATTACTTCGTTTGGCATTGAGTGTAGAATTCCATTCTATGTCAAGTGTAGAGCAGTCCCAATAGCTTTAATATTGCATTAGTTTAAACTTTGTGAGTTTGAAAATGCTTGCACTTTTGTGTGTAAAATGTCTCTTTACACTTCTTAAAAGTCTTGCAGGAGTTTGTTAGCTTCAACCATTGGCCTAGATTTTGTGTAGCAAAATGTTAATCTTGCTGATTTCAACGGTGAAAGACATATTAGCGTTCATTTTAGTGGTGCTTTAATTGACACATTTTGCTTGATCGTTTAATTTACCAGCTGAATGGAGTCTAGAAACAGAAGACACAGGTTAAATGAGACGAGAAGAACTTATGAATCGGAACCTGAACTCGGAAGCGATGGTGAGTCAGATCTGTCTAGTGAAGAATCGTACCATCCAATGGATACTCATATTCATCGTAGCGATTTAGTTATGGTTGAAGCACAAGCCCAGCAGCAGAAAAACATGCATAACCAGATTGAAATTACAGTTGAAAGTCCAAATTCCAATCAAAATGCAGAGAGTCAAAAAGGTTAGTTTTTTCACTTCGTGACTCAAATCTCAAATGCAATACTTTTATTAGCTTTTCTTTCAAGTGGTAGTTTTCACATTCATATTCTAGAAAGTGGAGACTCCAATTCTTGATTGAAGTACAGCAACCATGGTTTTTCTCTCTCAGTTTCAGGCATTATCTTCTTAAAATATGACATCCCTACTCAGATTTACTTTGTCGGTGAGAAAATCTTTTCATCTATATTATCAACAATTTTTTTTTTTTTTTTGGGAATTTTTTTTTTTTTTTTTTTTACCAATACACTGGTTTGGATTTCATCTTAAAATGTCAACATTTGTTAGGAGTAACCCAAACCTACGTATGCTAGATACTATTTTCTATGAATAATGCTAAGTGTACATTCTATGGTTGACATTTTTGTATACATTTTCAAAAAGTATTGGACACAAAATGTGTTTTTTCAAACTGTCTCATCGTATGTCGGCACGTGGCACAATGTCAATCCTAGTGTGAAAAAAAAAATGTATAGGTGCATAGGAAGAGGGGGGTGGCAGGCCCCAACCCTTCCCCCAGTGCCCATTTAATTTTTATGTAAAAAGATTTATTTCTTTGTTACGAAAAAATAGATAACAATCCTATGTAGTAGCCCAATAGAAAAAATAACTAAATTTTACCCCCGGCTTTGATAAGAAGTTGATCCACTTGATCTCCCTTGGTATATTGTATATAATTAAGAGTTGATCCACATGCACAGCGGAATTTAAAATAATTTCGATTCCCACCGAGGATCCCTTTGTATTTAGATAGAAATCGTGATAAAGATTGCACCTTCGAAGAATTCTGCAAACTTTTTGCTTTTCTTCTCGTTCCAGCAATCTTGATTCGCCACCACAGCTGTCCAATTGTCCAGCCTCCAACGGTAATCCACACAGAGAATAAGATTGCAGCTTCTAGGATTTTCTCTCTTGTGCCAAAAAGAATAATGAAAATTATATGGACCTCATACCTTAGCCATGTATTTATATAAACCCAAACGGACTCGACCCCATCCGGTCCAGTATTTAATTAATCCAATTAATTAAACCCGGTCCGTAAATTAATTAATCTAATTAATTAATTCGGGAATATAAATAACAAATCCAATTAATTAATTTATCCAATGATTGTTAAATTAACCAATTGGCAATTTGCAATCTTCCAATTCTCTTTTGTGTGCGACCCATTAGATTTCCGACCAGGATGCCTAACGACGTGAAATATTATTTTGATCTAATCAAAATTGATAAATTAAAACACCCATTTAATTTATCGTCAATTCACACTCGTCGTCCCTAATTGACATCTAGCAATGTGTCAGGGCAATACATGTAATGGGAATTGTCACGTGGTATGACAAAACCAAATTCATTCGTTTACCGTGAAACTATAATCCCTTCATCAATATGATCCAATCAATTACGAGATATGGAATTATGTCAATCTCGATTATCGATCATATCTTTCACTCCACTATTAAGTCAATATAAGTCGAAAACTCCTTTTCGATTTATGAGTACACCTTGGCCAAAGATTTCATCATTGACTTAATTGAATGAAACGCAGATCATAATCTCCTATTATCTAAGAGTGACGAATCTTTTATTGATCAATCACAACCTTCATACGATTCTTGACGTACCCGAACGATGTCGTATTAGCGGCCCTTTTCAGAGCAACATCCAATACCGCCAAAGTATGACTGTCCTCATATAAGGTACCATGACGACCTCAAGTCAAACAACCAATTCCACTACCGAACGTTAGAGATTAACCACTGACACTCAGATAGTTATCCATGTGGAATCTCTCGACGAGTCTTCAATGTTTTGTTCTATGACAAAACATCCACGTGTTCATTTAAGTGTCACCACACTTTAACTTGTGAGACCAGCTACTTACTTCACATGTAAGAAATGCCGCACATGATGGTCTATCCGTAATAATGATATCCGTATTTCGTTATTACTTAGGACCACGGATGATTTATGATTCAATCAGATGTAATTTGTATCTCACAGTCACAACTCCTTGTGATTAACAAATTACAAAGATTTGAATTTACGGACTCTATTATTTATTTAATTGTCTATTAATTAAATAATAGATCTGTCATTTAATTGCATTAATTATATATAAAAGTATTTATGTCCAAAGTTGATTGGACCTAGGGCATAATACTTATATACAGTGTATACTTGTTTATCTATTATTTGGTTTTGTATGTATTGCATAGTATTTATTATGCCGTTGTGAGGAGAAGGAAAGTTAACACTTTGTCCAAATTAAAATATGATAAGAATCTCAAATCATACAATTAAGTTTAATAACATATTTCATAAGACTCTCAATTTTTCAACCACACATTTCATCCACTTTTATCTAAATTTACTAAAATTTTTATCTTAATCCACACCAAACAGTGGATTTATATCGAGCTGCTCTAAGAGGAGATTGGAAGGCTGCTGCAAAATGTATGAGGTCGAAGGAAAATTTAGCTTGTATTCAGCTAACAAAAAGAGGAGATACGGCACTTCACATAGCTGCTGCCGCCAAGCAAACTGCTTTTGTCCACAGACTAGTCCTATGCTTGAAAGACAATGACTTGTTATTGTTGAATAGATTTGGACAAACAGCTTTCTATATTGCAGCTCAATCAGGGGTCGTAGAAAATGCCAAGGCCATGTACAGAAAAAATACGAATTTGCCAACAATTCGAGATATAATGAGAAGGACCCCCCTTGAAATGGCAGTTTTGTTTGGAAACAAAGAAATGGTTGAATATCTTTACCGAATTACACGTCCTGAAGTTCTCAACGCCAAGGAAATAATGGAGATTCTTGCAGGAATTATCCGCATTGACATGTATGGTATGAATTCTTTATTTTTAAGTGACGAAATGGGTCTGAGTATCAACATAAATTTAAGTTTTTCCTTTTTGTTCAAGTGACGAAATAGTATGACTACTTTCACAATTTAATACGCTTGCTTTTCTTTGTAATCAGATATCGCTTTACAGATATTAAATAAGGCAGATAGAAGAATATTTACTTCAACAACAGACATAGGAAGTGTTTTACGAGCTTTAACTCAAAAACCTTTATCACACAATCACGGAATTCAAGGACGAAAATGGGAAAGACTCGTGAGCATCATTGCTACTATCCCTTATATTCCATGTAAGACCATATCTTCCTCTCTTTCTTTCAAAAGTTAGATCACTCTTTTATGCTCGATGAAGTACTGTAATTCAACTCTTGCATTCAAAATATATCTACTTAGCAGATAAAATTAATTCTTAACTTAAACCCTCTTGGATGATGACGTCATAATTTTGTCCTTGTTACACCGTTCACTTCAAAATATGGTGTCAAGTTAAGCTTATTTAACTATCAGATAATTAGATTTTTGTACTTCTCGAAGTAGATTCTAAAATTATGATGGGTTGCCACATAACCCCCGGAATAATCAATCAAGATCCTAAGTCAAAGTTAATTGCCCAATATATTCACTAATCCATGATAAAAGTCCTTTTGAACTGAATCTATCGGGGAGCATGAGTTGAAGTTTCTTCAAATGTATCTTTAATTATTATTTTTCTCTATATTGATAATTGAATAAGGGTTCTAATTATCCCACATTATAATGCTTGTTCGATCTGAACTAGGATGAACTTCAAAACTGTATAGCAAATTCCAGTTTACTCCTAGTTTTTAGATTTTTTTGGGTTTGTAGTCCACTTGTTAATTTTGTGAGGATGTTCAGATTTCAAAAGGTTACATAGTTCACTTCATATGCGAAGACAAGCCAGTCAGTTAGTAATGAAACTGTGGAGGATTTTTCTAAAGTTACCGAACTCCGACCTCTTACAAATTCAAAAGACTCGGATATTTCATTCTGCTGCAAAATTTGGCAATGTTGAGTTTTTGACTCTGCTTAGTCACTCATATCCTGATCTTATATGGAACTTCGACTCAGAAAACAATTCCATATTTCATATTGCTGTTATTAACCGACAAGAGAAAGTCTTTAGTCTCATCTACCACACAGGAGTTAGGAAGGATGATATCACACTACTTACAGACAGTGACAGAAACAACATTTTGCATTTGGCCGGAAAAAAAGCACCTCCAAGCAGACTCAATATTGTATCTGGACCAGCTCTTCAAATGCAGAGAGAGCTACAATGGTTTAAGGTGAGAAATTAACACGATTAGAAGTCCCCTTCCCTTTTCCCTTCGAGAGAAGTAGAACACGTTATAGCATCACGGTAAATTGTATCATGAATATATATGTGGATACATCCAAGTTATTAGAAATCTCTTATCTATTCTATGTAATACCAAAATTGAATTTTGGATGATTATGCTATATATATTAATTTCAGTAAGCTGTACAGGCGGTGGAGAAGATTCTACGGCCTTCCTATCTTCAGATGAAAAATCGGGACGGCCAAACACCAAGGGAGTTGTTTACGCAGAAGCATGAGACATTACGGGAAGATGGTGAGAAGTGGATGAAGAAGACAGCAACTTCTTGCATGGTTGTGGCAACTTTAATTGCAACAGTTGTGTTTGCTGCAGCCTTTACCGTACCAGGTGGGTATAAGCAAGAAAAAGGCTCCCCAATTTTCTTGAAAGATGGGTTGTTCACAGTTTTTGTTACATCTGATGCGCTGGCAATGTTTACCTCGACAGCTTCCATAATGACGTTTTTGTCTCTGTTTACTGCACAATATAGAGAAGATGATTTTCTAGTTTCATTACCGGCAAAGTTGATGATTGGACTATTTACACTCTTTGTTTCAATCGTTTGCATGGTCGTAACATTTAGCGCAACCTTCATTTTAGTCTACAAGGAAGAAAAGCATGGGACATGGCCGAAAGTTGTTGCTGCTTTTGGTTTGCTTCCAATCATTTTATATGTATTCCTAAATTGGAAGTTATGGATTGCCCTAATCCGCTCCACATTCTTTGCGTCAAGGTCTATGTTTCGATTGAGTAACAACAGGCTTTTCCAGTAAAAGGAGCCACAATATTAGTTGTAGTTACTACGGCTTTATTTTTCAAGTCCACGAATAAGTGAAGAAGCTTTCTATTTCTTATTTATTCATCCTTGTTTTATTTTATACAGTTATAAATCAATATTTTAACTACCGAAGCCACAAATAAATCAAGTGGAGTAGTCCATGAGAAACATCAAAAATCACATGCCTCAAAATGTGTTAATCAACCTCCAATGGTGGATTTTCTGGGCTCAGTTTAACCAATTTCCATCTTATTAAACACACCTAACAAAGGCTCCAACCCAAACAACGATTCTTACTTCGGTTGCTCAACTCAATGTGTTCACAAAGAACACAATATGGTGGCTGCAATGAATCACAAAGAATAGAGGAAGACAGATTCAGTTTTTAGCTCAAGAGAGAAAACTAGAGAAAAATGTAGGTTGCCTCTTTTCAATTGCACACACACACGGCTCCTTCACAAATGAGAGCAATATATAGGTTTAGGGTGTAATAATATAATAGGCTCATGGACCAACTAATGGTTAAAGGGGGGGAACACAAATTGAGCCATCCAAGAAGTAAATGGGCCGTGAGCAACATTAACTATATTAAGTTGCTTCAAACGACCCTCAAGTTGTTTTTCAGGTTGAGCCAATTAATCGAGTGTGTTAATAAATATTTCAATCATCGGTCGAAACCTATGAAATCTAATCCGACTATCCGACACTGTTTAACATCATCGCTCGGGATTATTCTGTATCAAAAACCCAACAATCTCCACCTTGATGCCCAATAATCTGCAAGTAACCAAAACACAAAGTTTAAACTTGTACAATCAAGGTAATCCAATAAAATTGGTATCTCAGACCTTACCTCGTGTTTCGAACCGAAACACACACCATACCTGCTCCATGTACTCACCGGGGCTAAGGTCCAAAAAAAAAAAATACCCAGGTAGAAACAAGTACTTACAGTGAACAACTAATCATAGGATAAAGATATTACATAGGATACATTACACAGATCTTTTCAAATTCACGTTCACATAGAATTGAAGATTAACACCAAGTTAATCAGCACACGGACAAACACATATGCAACAAATGCATAAATGACCTCATGAAAGATCTCACCACACTTATCCTATCCCATTTCATGTTAATCCCACCTCGAGAACACATATCTCCTCTCATCGCCCACCATGCTCGCTAAATAGATCACACAACTCATGTCAAAATGGCAAGTTACAATAGATTCTAAGTTCAGGAATAATCATCTATCACCACATCACTTCTCCTAACCTACGTGGATAATGGGACTCCACCTTACAGAAGTGATAGAAGTGCCTCTCTCGCACTCCACCTGTACATGGTCTCTTTCACAGATAAAGGATTCTACACATTTGATCACATCTCTACTCGTGATCCAAATGTCACACTCCATATCCCCCGGTACAAATCACCATGTACCCCTAGGCATCTATACTCCACCTTACCAAAAGACATCTAACACACTGCTAATGCATCCTAACCCACTATGCATGCAAACGATCACACCAAGTAATCACATTACCTCAAATTCATGTAGACACACATATCAAACAAATTGAAATGCAACATATAGTCATGCAACAAATTAGGCAATCACACACATGCTGAAGGGATCACACACAGATGCATATGCAGTTACTATGTTTACTCTCTCAATAAACCTCACTAGGGTCATAACTCGACCCCTCAACCGCATTCGTCTCACCTCTCACATGACCCTTCTACTTATCCTTCTTCTTGGGACAATCCCTAATAAAGTGTTCAGACTTATCACAACTATAACATCGTCTACCACCAGACTTGTCCCGTCCCTTGCCCTTCATCTTACCACCTTCATCACTCGAGTCACTACTCGAATCACCACTATTTTGAACTCTACCCAAATTTATTTTCTTAAACTTCATCCCACTCCTTATCATGTGTAACTCACCACTCCTCTTATCTTCATTTTCAACTTTCATTTTCATCTCCTTACTCCTAAGTGAGTCTACGACAATCTCGGGAGTCAATGTATCCCTACCATATTTAATGACATTTTTAACTTCCTTATATGACTCAGGCAGAGAATCAAGCAAGATTATAGCCTTGTAGGTTTCAAATACGGTCTCTTCACAGTTAACAATATCTTGGACAAGTTTATTGAAAACATCTAAATTGTCATCAAGATCCTTTGAAGGATCCATTTTAAAACTGGAGAAACGCTCAAGAAGATAAAGTTTATTAGGAGTGGATTTAATCAAATATAGATCTTCCAACTTTTTCCGAAGATCTTTTGTGGTTTTTAGTTTTCCTACTTTTCTCAAAACAACGTCAGACAGATGTAAAATGATTGAGGTATAAGCAAGCTCATCGACTTCTTCTTTTTGTTCTTTTGAAAAATTAGCTGGAAAATTGCCGTCAATGGCTTTTGAAACCTTTTGTTGGACTAAAATACCCTTCATTTTTTGTTGCCAGATTGAAAAATCACCTTTTCCATTGAAAATACCAACTTCAAAATGTAAAGACATTTTTGAAAAATGAAACAATCAATTAGGCAAATAGATCACACAAAGTAATCTTACGATCGAAATATACACCATTCTAGATTTCCATGGTTTCGTAAGACTCGCGGTCTTAGATCAAGGGAACGTTTGAATGGGTAAGGTCTAGGTATTCTAACGAAAGTAACAACACAGCGAAATTTACGATGCAACAAAATAGGTATATCCAATCAAATGAAATTTCACGACAATTTTAGCACAAAGCACAATACGCTAATTTATTCAAAAATAAGTACTCAATCGCAACAATTAAGAGCAAGTAATCCTAATTTCTAGCACAAGCAATGGCTGTCAAACAATGACAACCCCCAACCTATTGTCACCCCACACGGTGACGCGCTAATGCTGAAATTAACGGGTTAAGCCAATTTACCAGAGCGAACGTGTCTGAGTCCGTATAATCGAGAGAGATGCGAATATCCTGCTTTAGGACCACCACTATTCGTCCTAAAGATTCAGCAAATATAACCGTGCAGCCTGCCAAGAAATGCAGTTCGATTTCCAGGGGCAAAATCGTCCAACTTTTTCTGTGTAACCTGAAACAGAAACCTTCCAACACGAAAAATGTTAGAAATAATATGAGGAACAAACTGCCTGAAGAAAGCTTCCCAAGAAATGATCGCACGCACCCACACGCGCCACCGCCGGAGAAGTCACGCGCCGCTGCCACCGACTGCCGTCGCCCAGACACGTCGGCCACCCAGCACCGCCTCCACCTGCAGATCACGAATCCAATCTCCGTTTCATCAAAAGACATCTAGATTCTCCAAAAATTGAAGTTGCAGATCCGATTTTTTGGAAAAAAATTCTGGACAATTTTTATATTCTGATTTCTGCCGATTTTCTGGTCGGATTGTGGCCGGAAATTCTATCCCAACCTCGCTCTGATACCAAATGTTGAATAATCGACCTCCAATGGTGGATTTTTCGGGCTCAGTTTAACCAATCTCTATCTTATTAAACACACCCAACAAAGGCTCCAACCCAAACAACGATTCTTACTTCGGTTGCTCAACTCAATGTGTTCACAAAGAACACAATATGGTGGCTGCAATGAATCACAAAGAATAGAGGAAGACAGATTCAATTTTTGGCTCAAGAGAGAAAACTAGAGAAAAATGTAGGCTGCCTCTTTTCAACTGCACACACACACGGCTCCTTCACAAATGAGAGCAATATATAGGTTTAGGGTGTAATAATATAATGGGCTCATGGACCAACTAATGGTTAAAGGGGGGGAAACACAAATTGAGCCATCCAAGAAGTAAATGGGCCGTGAGCAACATTAACTATATTAAGTTGTTTCAAACGACCCTCAAGTTGTTTTTCGGGTTGAGACAATTAATCGAGTGTGTTAATAAATATTTCAATCATCGGCCGAAGCCTATGAAATCTAATCCGACTATCCAACACTGTTTAACATCATCGTCCGGGATTATTGGGTATCAAAAACCCAACAATAATAGTAATAAAAACACGAAGCAATTCACCATGGTTAACATGATCATGCAATGAATGTTATTTTGCTTAACTGTAGTGACTTTATTCATATATGGATCGACTACTACTCGAGACAGCAAAGAGATCATGTCTCTCCTCGCTTGGTGAATTTCATTTGGTGCAAAAATTAATATGGGAATTCTTTGCAATACCAGTAGGAGGGGATTTCCTTGCAAAAATAGGTCGTATTTCCATTAAAATTAAAATTAAAATTAAAATTGAAAGTCATATTTCCATTTCCAATAATGCACAACATTCGGTTGCTCATCAAAGTAAGTTTTTGAATTTTGTTTTCCATTTCATGACTTGAGCAAACTAAATACATGTGTACATTTTTATTTATTTCTCGAAACAACTGCAATACTTTCATTTGCTTTTCTTTCTAAGTGGTAGTGGTACAATCTCACGTCTTATATTCTAGAAAATTGAGACTTCCATTCTTTGAGTATAAACATTGCTTCTTTCTTAGTTCCAAGCATTTTTAACGTTTTTTATTTTCTATGTTTTTATTTTTTCTAATACACATGTATATGCTATTGAGTCATTGGATTTCATCCTAAAAGATAGCATTTGCTTAGAGAATAGTCCAGGTCCATGTATGTCTTATATAATTTTAATATTTAACCAATGTCGTATTTTAGCCTTATTAATATTATGCCTTCAAAATGGTGTTTTATTGCGAGCACTAATATTGGAACACAATTAATTGTTTGAGCTTCATGGGCTGTGACAATGCAGAATCACTTGATTTTCGTAAATCTTATTGATGTTGGTTGCCACTTTTGTTGTCACAATTGTCGAGTCCTTAAGTATCAAGTATAAGGCTAAGCTATGTTTATTTTGTTGTCAAGCCCTATGTATTTTGTAATGATTATAGGGAGCAGTCCTTTACATTTTTCTGATGTATAGCCTGCACCAGCATGTCTTTATGTAATGATGTGATGTGTGTCCTTAAGTAAGGATGTAGCAGGTAGTTGGTAGAAAGATGTGCTAGAACATCTTTTTTATAT